GCTGAGAAAAAGAGCTGTTCCAGAAAATTACGGGATAAGAAGATTGGAGAGAAGAGGGTCCTGAAGGCAAGAGGTATGTTTGGGAAGGTGCTGGAAGTTGAGAGAGATTTACACCACCTAAAATAATGTTTCCCAATATTTTCCCAGAAAACATTGCTGCACTCTACGTCACAGCACGATGCTACTGTGCAAAGATGGTGATAATGTATTTCCCGAGTGCATCTGATTGTACGATAAAATACGATGTAAAAAAATACGTTAAAAAAATTAAGAAAAGCAACCAAAAGCGACTGGTTCTCCTTTGAAGACTTCTTGATAATGGAGCGTGACCAGTCATTCCCTTGAATAAAAAATTCTTTCAGAAGACTGTCTTCAAAAGACCTTCCAATGCTGAACCTCTGTAAAGTAGGTCACGCAGGCATCCCAACCTTAGAAGGTCACAGGAAAGCTTACTGTGGGATGTGTTATGGAATCGTCATCACACAAAGCTTTTATGGAATGATGGCTCTTTGTTCTGGAAAAAAATCCACAATGTGGAGGAGGAAGGCAGGGAAGAAACCACAAAGGTCACTGTTTATTCTAACAATGGAGTGGCAGAGTGCAGAAAATAGCATGGTTACAGGGTCACAAAAGAGTTCTCTATCCATTACCAACAGTTGCACTGGAATGGCTCTATTCTGCATGGGATCCCTAGTTGATAAACTTCAGACTTCGACTGAAAGTAGATCACCAAACCTGAACTCGAATTAACTCCTGCCCTATTCAAAGATCTGAGAGTAAAGCTAAGCATGGATGGATCTAAAGGTGGGACAAATATGACTTGGGGTGGGCAGGACAACCGTGGTTCTGTTTCCCTGTTTCATGGAGGTTCGATACATTCATCTGAATTTCCCATTCTGAATGACGTGTGAAGGAGCAGCCCTTGATGTTAATACACAGAGTTGGATTTGGTGAGGCTGAGATGAACCATAACTGGACATGATGAGGCTGAAATCGGCTCAAAACAACCTCCCCCAAAAGTTCATTAACTTTTTAAGGTTGCAGTATGGAGAAACAATTTCATGCATACACACATTCTAATGATATGAAATTAGTATAATTCTATTTTAATTCCATTCAAATGGAAATTAAATGAAATATTTATTTATTTATGGTATATGTCTATACTGCCAGACTCCCAGAGATTTCGAGTATAACCAGTAGAATCACTGAACCAGTTTGTGATATAAAATTCACCAGCGTTAGTTAAATGGTGGCAACATTTTGGTTAAAATTACAGATTCAAAGCTCTGTGAAACTGCTTTGTCTTCGTTGCTTCTGAAAAGGCCATCAGGAAGGATGACATCTGGATCTCTGAGGGGTTGATCCTGTCCCCTACCTACTTTTTGGGATATGGCTCCCAATTTACCAATCCAGTTCAAGGCCATGGCTATTGAAACAGAAGATACCTTCAAACAGAGGACGCTCTTTTCACAGCCTTTCTGCTGGAACTTCCTCAAAACCAGCAAGTATGGCAACCCTAATCTAACGGTTGAATACAGAACATATAATTTGCCCATAGAAAGGAAAATACAGTAAATCCATTACTTTCTGAACTTACTCCATCTGGATACCTATAAGCATTCAGACGTAGCAGAAGCTCCCCATGTCTTGGTTTGCCCTCCTATTTCTCAAAAGGAACCTGTGCTGGAGACATGCTCTGTTTTGGCTGAGCTGAGAAAAAGAGCTGTTCCAGAAAATTACCTAAGTTTCTATGGATGGTTCAAGTCTTCCTTCTTTGCTTTCTACCATGACCATGAGTAGCAGGCGAAGAAAATTAACCCCAAGGCTGTGTCGTCTGCTGAAGATGCCAAAGGAACACCTTGTATGATAACAAGGTGATGAGTTGACAGGACGGCTGATTCTAATGTTGATCTCTACCGTTGGGGAGGAGTGGAAAATATGATGCTTTCTGAAAGTATGCAGACTCATGATTTGTTATGTTGTATAGCAGAAGTGTGCAGGATCAGGCTCAAGGGCCACCCACACTCCTCAAAACCTTCAATGCAGCCCCAAGAAACCTCAGAAAAGTGTCGCCAAATTAATCCACTAATTCCATCTATCCACCATTATTTTACTCATTGACCCATAAAAGGTGTAATACTGAAACTCCAAAATTAGTCACAACATTACTAGCTATAGCTCAAAATGGCACTTACTTATAAGCAATCCAAAGAATCAGTCATGACATTAAATGATAATAATGTAAAATTCAAACATTATATTGTGACTATAAAGCTAAAGTCATACAACTAAAATCCTGTATGGCTTTCTGTAGTTTTTAGACTGCAGTTGTATGCTGCCCAGTTGCTTTGAGTTGGGCAATTGATAAATGTGAGCTATAAAGAAAGAAATCTTTCTGGAGTGCTACACTACTCAAAGGCTGGCCCTCAAAAACTGTGTACTTTGGTCATAATAGAGAAGAAAAACAGGTGGGCTCCATCATTCCCCAAGTTTTAAATTCTACACAAAAATAAGACTACTTTTAGGGCCAACTGAAAGTTTAGGAAATAGTGGGCAAACTTTTGAGTTTTGAGGCATTCTTCATCAGAC